ATAGATTTGGAGACTAACACAATAAGATCTAGTTCTAGTTTTGAAGTAATGACTCTGTCTTGAGCTTGAGGCTCAAAATAATTGTTTTGAGTTGGTTGTATTTTGATGTAGGGATACCTATTTCAACAATTACCGCCGCAATGACTAAAGTGATTATTAGGGTGATGGTACCGGCGTCTATGGTGTAGCGTTAAGGCATTTCGCTGTTTCAAGCAAGAGGCCCGAGTTCGATTCCCGAGTGGGGAGAACATTTTGGTCGAGTACCTCGGTATTTCTGCTGAAATGTTGAATCTCTCTCAGTCCGGGTTAGCCCTGACAAGCAAAGTAGGAAGCCCGCCTCCTAAAAATCACATATACACTTACATCTAGTTGTCTCGGATAGGGACACAAATCTCGGAGATCCCGGGTGTACACTGTGCAATTAAAAAATTTCTTGGTGGTTGAAAATCGTAGTACTGTATGCCTTTAAGCTGCCACCCCTATAAAATTCAATATTGAAAATCCTAAAATTAAAAACACCCCTTTCCCACCCGTAAAAATACATAGTAGAACACCCCCTTACACCTTCGTTGATTCCAAAAGTATTGATGATGTCTCCACTTTGGCGCATATTAAGGAAGTTAAGATCTGAAACGAAAGAAATAGTTCTTGGGTTATCTACTAATTCCCCAAAGTCTAAAGCCCAGGCAAAGTTTTATCAAGCATACTGCTTAAAAATAGTCTTTTACGAAACAATATGTCAAACTAAACAAAAATACTAGATATTGTCAGGTTTCGGATAATCGCATGGGTGGGGCTTGCTTTTATCCGATCCCTCTCCACCACACCCGAAACATAAGACAGTGAAGGAATCCTTGACATCCGCGAGAACCACATAACCGCAAAGATTACGCCAGCGTTACTCACCAGAAGAATGTCGATATACGCACAATTACCGCCGAGTTAACCCAAACAAACCTACCCTTCACTGCATAGCAGATCAATTTTCTTACCTCATGTAATGAATTCGTCAATATTCCTCGTAGGCTCGTAGTAAGCCTCCTGCGCCAATGTTCAAATACATTACATCAGTCTCTCCTTTTGCACAAGGAGCGAATTTGGGTGAAAAGCAGGCGAGAGTGGCAGTAAAATTTATGTCAAGTTTGACATTTAAGTGAGTCTGAAGCAACAACGATCGGAGAAGAGGGATTTGAAGGAGGAATGATGGGTTACAAAAAGAAGAAAAAAAAGAGAAAAAACGTGAAGAGGTTGGATGTATGAAGATAAGGGTGGGCTGTCTTGTGTATTGTTTGGTTGGAGGGGGTGGGTGTTGGGTGGGGGGTGGAAATGATGAATGAATATGGTGCTAGGAAAAAAAGAGGGTGGAGAGGGGGACAGGGGGA